TATCAGAGGTCAGACAGGGGTTTCATGGTTGTGATTGTTTGAAGAAGAAACTTTGTGCGGGCAGAAAGATGAGCCAGAAATTCAGATATGGCCTTGGTTCTGCCGCTGGCCAGCCGGGATCGTGGGGAAATCACTTCTCGGTGCCTCCGTTTCCTCTTGTGTCAAAGCATGATAGGTCTAAAATCAGCGGACATGTGGCCCACAGAAATAATTGGCTGATATACATCTTTTTCATCCTATTTATGTATTTTTTATTTATTTTAAAAATATAACTTATTGTCAAGTTGGCTAACATACAGAGTATACAGTGAGCTCTTGGTTTTGGGGGTAGATTTCCGTGGTTCATCGCTTACATACAACACCCAGTGCTCATGCCAACAAGTGCCCATCACTCATTTTCCCCATCCCCTGCCCCCATCCACCCTCAGTGTGTTCTCTGTATTTAAGAGTCTATTAAAGTAATACATACATTCAGTCTCAAAGCTTAAGTGGTACCTGAAGGCTGTCAACACAGAGAACGTGGTCCCCAGCTTTGAGTCCTGCTTCCAAGAGGCAGCGATGTTTAATGCCTCTAACAGTTTCTCCTGGTTGTCTCATCTTTTTTCTAAGTAGTAAATTTATTCTAGAAGCTCTTAATTTTTCAATTTTATGTGCTACAAGGGTCAGGATCCAGGTGGGACATGTGCGACACTGGCTCCAGACCCAAAACTTAGTCATCAGGATAAATAATATTTTAATGAAATATTTTAAAAATTCAGATATTGCCAAAAACTCATGATAAACAAAATATCACGATCATCAACAAAGGCAGGGTCCCGGGGCCGGGGTTGGGGTGAGGTGAGCGGAGCCAAGCCATACAGCTGTGGGGTCAGATTCTGTCTGTATAGAAACTTGTCATAGTTGGACTTGGATAGTCCACAAATCAGAATTGAGCGCTCGTGTGCCACACTCTGGCTCCCCTCTCCTCCACAGGCCCTGTCCACCTAATGCAGCCCCGTGCAGCCACCTGAGGGCCTTTCTGGAGTGTCGAGGCCCAGGCTGTGTCTCTCCGACCAGTGAGCTCGGGAGGTCTGGGGTGGAGAGTTCCCTGTATGGTTCCAGTGTGCAGCCCAGGTCAGGCCCCGCCCCCCCTTCCCCCCGCAACAGAGTGAGGTCATCATTCGGTGGATTCACTGAGAAATGCGGACATTTGGGCCACTGACAAATTGTCCACAGCTGAGCCCCGTGAGGGACTATGATGGTGATTATGTTTTGATATTGTACACGATTTTTATCCTTGCAGGTAAAAACAAACTGGCTTCGTTGTTACATCTGCTTGACTATTTACGTACTAACCACTAATTCATCCAGAGCCACCTGCCAGAGCCCCGAAATGTCTCCAAGTCAAACACATCAGGTAACTCCTCGGGGGCGTGTGTGTTCCCGAGGACACCCTCCAGGAGTCACTCCCATGGCCCACTATGGTCACCTGTGCAGTGGTCCTGGGTGTCCCCTCCTCCTCTCCCACGTCAGGGCCCCTGCTCCCAGGGTCTCATGTCATCTCTATGCTTGGTTTGTTCATACCCTTCTGTTCTGGAACATTCCCCTGTATTATTTCCCTGAGGACTCTCCTCCATGTTTTTATAGCCCTAGAACTGCTTTTAGCTGCTTGTCAGATCTCCTGGATGGATCTTGTCATTTTCTTATCTTTATGATCTTCTATTGTTCTCTTTCCTAGGAAATGCTCTCCGATTTCCTCTCTCAGTACTTCTACTGACTTTTAAATTTCTATGTTAGTATATTTTGTTTTGTTTTGTTTTGTTTTTAATGTTTTTTTTATTCATTTCTAGGAGAGAGAGAGAGAGACAGCGTGAGCAGGGGAGGGTCAGAGAGAGAGGGAGTCACAGACTGAAACAGGCTCCAGGCTCTGAGCTGGCAGTCAGCACAGAGCCCGACGCGGGGCTCGAACCCACGAACTGCGAGATCACGACCTAAGCGAAAGTCAGACGCTCAACCGACTAAGCCACCCAGGCGCCCCATATGTTAGTATATTTTGATCTCCTGGTCTTTTTTCTGAATGCTCCTTTTCTTGCCTTAGCATCCACTCCGTGTTTTGTGGACATGAGCCCTGAACTGCCGAGCATTTTCCTCTATTTGTCGTCATTTTCTTTTCAAGTTTTCCTCTGCATCGTCTGTTTCCTCATGTTTTCCCCCCTCATTCATAAGTTTGGTGCCTCGTGTCCACAATAGACCCTCCACGTAAGTGCTGGGCAGTCCTTGCCTCTACATTTATTCTTACCCGTGAGGCTCTTAGAAGCAGAGCGGGCCCTGTGTGAACAGAGTTGATGGGTGGAAGGAGGAGGCGGACCGGCCAGTTTCTCCCCCGAGAGGTTTCACTACTCTCGGCCCTTCCTCCGCGCTGCCTTGAGGGAATAGGCCTGATGGACAGGGTTCCCAGGCCCGAAGGTGGCATTGCGACGTGGGTGCACAGAGGGGCCTCTGTGTTTCAGTGTTCAGGACGCAGGGTTTGACGGAATCTCTCTGTCGTCAACAAAATAGCAATGACAGGGCAGGCTCTACCCGTGGGGCTTGTATTTTCATTGTTCCCGGAGACTTCGCCTGAATAGTTCTTAAAATCTCACCAGTCGAGTCTCACCCACAGCCAGAGAGGAGGGCGCCCACTGTGTAGAGTAGCTACAAAAGGAAGTTACGGGGCCACAAAGGGCCGAGTCCCTCCCTGTGTCCTGGGGGACTCGAGGGAGGCTTCCGAGAAGAAGCCAAGAAGCCGTCTCTGCCCGGCCTCAGTTGGTGGATGCAGAATGGGAACGCTTCGGGAGAGGGAGCTGGAGGTGCGGATGCATCTTGCATGTGTGTGGGCAGGGGTTGCATCAAGGGGGGCCACCTCACGTGTTGTGCCTCGTGCTCCAGGAACTCTGTCCATCAAAGCAAAGCTTCCGGAGAAGCACTAATCGTGTGGACAGATTCTTACCCTCCACCCTCCTCATCACTCATCAGGATGATCTGTCCTGAAAATTCCCCCATTCCTTATGGTCTATTCATATTTTTGAATTCATAGTCTCTGTGTTAAACTTAAATCTTAATTTTACTGGCAGTATATTTATAGATCGCTTTCTGGAAAGGTTTCTGCAGAAAACAAATCTCATTCATTGCAGTCTTTGCTTTTCTCAGCTCCCAGTGGTGCTTTCTTTCTTCCCTGGGTTCGCGTGCCTGGGCCCTCTCCACTCACCACACCGTCAAGCATATCTGGACCCTTAATCTCCCCTAATATCGTCTGTGCCAGGCACAGCACAGGGCCCAGCCTGCGTGGCTCTGTTCATTCGCCTCTTCGGGCCTGGACAGGTGCGCCCTGTCCACAACCCTTCTGAGGAGTAAATTCCAATTGTGAGAAAGGGATTCAGGCTCGTCTTCAGGGGGCAAGAGAGACCTTCATATGGAGAGCACTCAGAAGTTGTTTTTCCCTCGGAAAGCAGTTCATCGATCTGCCTAAGAATGCACCTCCGGAGAGTGGTCAGGGAAGCCACTGTGAAAAGGGGTGCTGTCTCATTTGTGGGCAGACCAGGAATCTCCCCATCAGTTCCTGGGAGCTCGTTGCTTGTCCACACTTGAAGGCAGTGACTTCGTCATCGTTACCCAGGCCCCTGGGCTAAGATGCCTGGAGGCGGGGGAAATGGGAGAGGCATTCTGTGGGCTTAGTAAGTGGGAAAAGTCATCACAACTTTCCCAGTAGGGGAAATCCTGCAATGTCAGGTTGTGAAAGCTCTTTCTCTCTAACGTCTCTCTGCCGTTCGTCAGCTGGCCGGCCGCCTTGCCCTCCGCATCTGCCTCCTCACCTGTCAGGTGCAGGGTGCAGAGCCCAGGCTGCACTGCCCGCGTGCGCGCGCGTGTGACCGCTGAGCCCTGCAGTGTGGCCAGCCTCGGTCCCGGTGCGCCGCGGGGGTAAAATATGTGCTGGGATTTGAAGATGCGTGTGAAAATTTGTAAAATCTCTTATTCATAATTTTACTGAATGTATGTTGAAACAATATTTTAGCTATATTGAATAAAATGTGTTATCAAGATTAATGTCCCTCCTTTTTTCTTTTTTTAATTCATTTTTAACATTTGTTTGTTTGTTGTTTATTTATTTATTTTGACAGTGACAGAGAGATAGCATGCCCAAGCAGAAGAGGGGCAGAGAGAGAGAAAGAGGGAGAGAGAGTCCCACGCAGGCCCCGTGCTGTCAGCCCAGAGCCCAACACAAGGCTCGAACTCACTAACCGTTGAGATCAGGACCTGAACCTAAATCAGCAGTTGGATACTTAACTGAATGCGTCACCCAGGCGCTCCCCACATTTTTTTTTTTTTTTTTGCTTTTTAAAAGTGAAAACCAGACAACCTAGAATTGCACACACGGAGCTCATTATGGGTGTCCCTGTATTTCTAGGCCAGCGCTGCCCTGGGTGGTCTGTAACTTCCTCTTGGTCCCCCAATTCTGTGACTCTAAGTGTTCTGATTCCTGCTAGTTACTCAGCAGAACGAATCCAGAGAGCACTTAAAATCAATGCTTGTCCTCAAGAAGCTTATACTCTCACTTTATAAAGGCTAAACTTAAAAGTTAAAACGAGTTCTTGGACTGGTCGGAATCATTCACACCCGCTAGAAAGCCGCTTTACTATCTTGCCCAATAAACAAGAGTGGAGCACTTAGAGAGTAACTAGTTTGCATCCGTTTCAACCAACAGGATGTAATGAAAAGCAAGATAGCCCTGGGTGAATTCACTATTTCATCGTAGGGAACTCCCAGTGACCTTGAATTTTCAAGAATTCTTCTCCCAAGAAGGTAGGAGGTAACCTGTCTCCAGGCCGGCAGCGTCTCCAGCCTGTGGTGTGGGGAGCCTTCCAGTCGGGAGCAGAAGATTAAGAGGAACGTCAAGGCATGAGGGTGCAAAACGTTAGTACATTAAAACGATCACTGGATAAATGAAATTTAACTTTTAGAGACCACGACCAAGACCAAAAAGCTCAAATTTAGAAATTTACCGTGGCATCATCATGGTCACTGATATTCAGAATACCGAAGGGCTAAATTTATATTTCTTGGGAGGAAGGGATACAGCCAGAAGAAAAGCCGTCTGCATAGACATCACACCACCACCAACTCAACATATTAAGGATGAAGTGAGATCCACAGTAAATTCAGGTTCCAAGCAGTCGTCTTGGCAGCCTTTGGACTTGTGTTGAGCACATGAAATGTCTTAAACATTTTGTTGATCTTGCAGATTTCCCTAGCTTGAAGTCTCTCCTCAGGAGGCAGGGATGTTTCTCACATCGTTGCTGTAACCGATCTGAGTTCCTCCAGTGAAAAGCGGGAATATGTTTGCTCATTTAGATGAAGACCTTTCAGGTGCCTCCAGTCCCTTTAATAATCTTCATTCCCTGCACAGTTTGGAGCACATCGTAATCAGGCTCCTAGCCAGCAGAAGAAAACCATCACTAACATCTGCTCCGAAGGGAAAAGAACAAAGTATAAGCTGTGTGCCTAATCCTGTGAAATCATGTTTGTTTACAAGGAGCCCTTAGCTCTCCAGCCGGTTCACCCCCCGCTTAAGGACTGTAATGACAGAGTAATTTTCTGGGAAGAGCGATGCTGGGCACTGGCTCCCTTACGGTGCAGGGGGCCGTTCTGGGGGGCACTGGGCTGGGAGTCTTGACACATCTTCATATTCTCTTCCTGGAATTCACACTTCTCCTGTGGGAGTAAAGGACACATGTTATCACACGTGTGAACTCTCCGAGGCCAGAAACTCATTTGTCTTTCCAGAAACCAGAATAATGTTTGGCACATTGAAGTTCACTAAGTGGTGAATTAAAAGCAATTATTTAAAGACTCTGTAGACACAGCCACTTGATTTTCTTGAATGAAAGTTGAGAGATAGGTATCTCTGAGGTTTAAAATGAAGGGAGAAGAGTTTAGATGTCTTCTAAAACGTGAAGAAGCCTCTGGAGGCATAGCTGGCGACGTGGCCTATTTCAGGTCTGAGTTACTCAAGAGCAAAACACCGACAGGAAGCGTGCAGCCAGCTGCCTGTTTTGCATGTTGCAACGACAGAGCGCAGACATCACTTAGAACAACTGACGGCAGGTATTCTTCTGAATAGGCAGGAATGGAAGATTGGGAAAGCGTCTGAAAACATTTCATGTTGGGATCTTTCACAGCTTTCCCAGCCTTAGAGGTTTCGAGAGAATTGTTTAATGTGGCCTTTGGTGTCTGCTTGCAAAATACGGCAGCCTATTCTTGAACACAAAGAGGTGTTTCAGGATGTCTGCCCAGTGAAAAGTGGCCTGCCTCCTCAGCTTCCCAAAATATGTAAATTAAACTGATCACAAAACCGTTTTTGTTTTCAGGAGTTAATAAGAACCTATTCCTTAGCCCTCTCTCCTCTGGTTTTTATTATTACTTATCTTCTTATGAAGTTCCCTCAAAAGTCAAGAATGGCAGTCTCTTTTACTAAATCCAGAAGCATTCTCTTGGTCTTTGGTTTTCCATGACCTTGTATGACAGGTACTTGGTATCAATGGCCACCTGCTCCTTCCTGAAACTTTTTCTTTTCTGATTTCCAAGACATCACGCATTCCAGTCTCTGCCTGCCTCTTTGCTGGTGCTTCCTTTATGCCTCTTCACTCATTCCATTGCTCTGGGAACTTGCTTAGCCTCTGTTTGGACCTTCTGGCCTCTGTTGTGTTCAGTCCCAATAGAGCAGATCCACTCACGTATCTGCCCTTCCCAGTGTCACGCGGATGCTTCCAGATCTGTGTTGCTATACAGTCTATGCTTCCATAGGAATATTTCCCTTGCTCGGGGGTCCCTCCGTGTGACTGAACATGTGGCTAGCAGCACTCTTTGTCTTAGCCTCTAAACTGAGACCCCACCCTGGCTGTTCCCTCCGAGTCAGGAAGACCTGCCAGGCGCCCAGTCCTGCAGACCCCGTCTCTGAAATATCTTCTGGTCTTACTGTCGCTATTGTGTGCACCACCATCACACAAGCTACACCCGGATTTTTGCACCAATTTTCCAGCTGGTTACATGGGACTCATCCAATTGATTGATATAGATCTGGGTTTCTTCTCCTTTCTGGTATACTTGTATCACAATACCCACATGATTAGAAATCTGTATGGACCTTATTTCCTTCAGTAGAAAATCTAAGCCCCTCTTTGTGTTTAATGGTAAGACAAGGGACTGAATGCAGCTGGTTGGCAGAGGTAGGGAGAGGAAGAGGGGAGCAGCAGGTGCACAAGTGAGGCCAGGGAGGTCTTGAGGGGCACGAGGGCCCTGTTGAAGATGCTGATCTGTGTCCTAAGGAAATACGGAGGCACCAACCTGTGTTAAGAAGCAAAGAATGTGTGTGTGTGTGTATGTGTGTGTGTGTGTGTGTGTCTGTACATACATAAATACATAAAAAAGGACCAGTCTGCACTTAAAAGCATTCCAAATGCAGAGTAAGAACACACTGGAAGCAGAGAACCTAGTTAGTCAGGAATCCGTTGTACCAGTTCTGGGGAGAGGTGATGGTGGCTTGGCAAAGGTAGTGGTGGGAGACAGAGAGAGAGCTTGATGAATTTGAGTTATATGAAAGATACGGTTTCAAGACACTTAGAGTTTAGAAAGTGGTACCAACACGCACACAAATGGCCATACAATGAGAAGGTGCAGAAAGGGACACAGGTGGATTCATCAGCGTGACGAGGGGGTACCATCACCTATAGTTCAGGCAAGTTGCAGGAGGTCTGATCAGAGTGGTTGGAGATGACTAGGCTTTAGAGAACAGGAAGGGAAAGAAAACTCCAGGTACAATGAACACCACTTGATGGGGGAGAGGGAGGGAGGCAAACCATGAGAGACTCCTGAATGCTGAGAACAAACTGAGGACTGATGGGGGTGGGGGGAGGGGTAGGAGGGAGACGGGCATGGAGGAGGGCACTTGTGGGGATGAGCTCTGGGTTTTATATGGAAACCAACTTGACAATAAACTATTAAAAAAACAATGAACACCACTTGAGAGACAGAGGGATAAAATAGCATGGTGTTCAGGAAACTCCGTTTGCATTTGGCGGACATTAAGGTGCAGCATAGGTAGGGGTGATGGTGACAAAGGCTTCGTGTGCATATCAAATGGCCTTGTTTGGACTTTATCCTATGGACTTGGGAGTCATTAGAAGGTTTGGGTCAGTGAGGAGTCCTGATAGCACTTGCAGTGGGAGCCATCGCTCCAGTAGTGAAGAGAATGGGTTAGAGGGAGCTTTGACTGGAGCCAGCGAGACCAGGAGACTGGTGATGGTTCAGGCTCGAGATGATGGGGACAGGAACTAAGGCAGTGTCAGGGGAGAGCAGAAGGAAAGAAAGAAAAAGGCAAAATGCAGATGACAAAATTGACAGGTGTTCTGAGTGATTACATGTGGGGGATTAAGGGGAGGGAGAAACCCAAGCCAGGTTTCTGGCGAGGGTACCTGGGCAGGCAAAGGGGCCATTATCCAGGCGGAGGATAAAGAATTCCACCTGAACTCTGCTAGGTAGATGAGCTTCTGGAACACCACGTGGAGATGTCCAGTAGGTGGTTGAATAAATCACCCTGAAACCGAGGAGGCATTTAAGTGAGTTCAGATATGTGAACTCTTCCCCAATTATCTTTCAAAATACATGTAGGTGGGGTGTTTGAAGAACATATTTAAGATGCATTATTCTGGGAGGCAACTCTTTGGATACTGACGACAACTGGAGGGATGTACCGTGAGTTCGGTTGTTTTATAATCTCCTGCGGGCATTTTGTCCCCAAAATGTACATTATAGCTTTATCCAAAGACATCTTAAAGTCTATGTTAAATTATCATCCTGAGAGTAGATAGATTCCATACAGGTGTTTAAGCCTTCAGGGATAGTGTCAAGTTTGTACTCAGAAAAGGTACACTGGCTGCAAACCAGCACTGGGAACCTCAGGGCATTTAAGGTGCAGATGTGAGATAAATCTCACACATTGCTCCTCTAGTTTTGCAGAATACTGAATGACAACCCTTCAGGGAAGAACAAACAAACCATTTGTCATAAAAAAATGTTTATACTTGCCTGACAGGTACTCTGCTTCCTTCTCTGTTACTATCTGTAGGATGTGTTGTCGCTGTGGTTTTAAAAGTCTCAGACAAACACCTTAAGCAAAAGCAGAACACATACATAAAAGAAATACTTGGTCCTCTCTTCTGACTCTGTGCTTGGTGGATTTCAGATGCTGGAGTTTGAGTCACAGGATTAAGGGAAAGCCCGAACATTCTGACATATACTCTCAGGACAATTGTCTGTATCGACCACATTCACCCAGGAGGTCTTCCTAAGGTTGAGAGGACCTGGGTGTATCATAAGAACTCAATATGGTGGTTGGTGGTGACACATCATTTCATTTAGTTCTTATAGCAGCACTATTAGGTAATATTTATTATGATGTCCTTTTTTTAATGTTTTTGTTTTTGTTTTGAGAGAGAGAGAACATAAGTGGAGGAGGGGCAGAGAGAGGGAGACACAGAATCTGAAGTAGGATCCAGGCTCTGAGCTGTCAGCACAGAGCCCAACACAGGGCTCAAACTCACAGACCATGAGCTCATGACCTGAGCTGAAGTTGGACACTTAACGGACTGAGCCACCCAGGTACCCATGATGCCCATTTTTAACTGAGGAAACCAGAATATAGAGAACTATGAACCATGCCTATGTTGAGATAGGAAGAATTAATGAGAAATTTGATTTGCTTCCTTCCAGAACAATTTATGAAGCCATTCACTTGATAAATATCTATTGAACACCCTACTTAATGCTAGGCACTGAGGTAAAGTATTGAGCCAAACAGATGTGTCCCAGATTTCAGGGAATTTACAGTCTAATGTGGCAGAGAGACAATCTAATCATACAAAAGTATATAATTGTAGTAAATGTTATGAAGAAAATGTACAGGGAGATATTAGAGCACTTTTCATGCATGTAAAGAATTACCATAGCACTTAGCCCTATGGTGCTATTCAGATATTTAACACCAATATAGCTCTGGCAGTGCCCAATCAGAATATGTGTGTGGCCATCAGAACAGAGCTGGCTGGTGCCACTGTTGTGACATATACCTGGTGAGTGTGTGGCACGAGCCCGGTGAGTGTCTGCCATGCTGGGCACACGGACTGCAAGTGCAGTGCATTGACTGATCAGCTCCTCTTCATCCCATGCTCCTAGTGCAAAGTCTTGTACTCAACAAATAACAGCTGATAATTGAATACTTTATTTTAATTTCTGGACCTTGCCCCAGTTCCACTGTAAAGGTGAGAAATTTTGTTCTCTATGTTTTCATTCATATTCTAACCAGGTCATCCTGAACTACAGGAAGGATCTGGCTCCTTGCATCAATCATTTTAATGCATCCAGACATTTGTTAGGATTAGAAATACCTATTTGGTAGTACTCGTGTAAAATGTGCTTTGTACATAGTAAGCACTGTGTAGGGTTAGCTAGTATTGTCCTCTCACTGTTGCTGTTATTATTATACCACTATTTATTTACTCCTTTCGCAGGCGATAATTTATGTGAAAATTTATGCATTATACTAAGCATTATACTAAGATTGCTGAAGCATATCTGTTGTTTGTACTCAATAAAACACCATAGGTATGCATCTGGACAAAAATTAGCAACCTGAATCTTTCCCTTCACTTAAAATG